AAGAGCTAACTTTTTGTTAAGTGCCAGGTACTATTCTAAGCGGTTTCAAATATTAACTTATTTAACCCTTCGTAAACCCTGCAACATAGGTACTATAATGATTCCCACTTTAAAAATAAGGAAACTGAGACCCAAAGAGGTAAGTGACTTGTCTAAGATCACCCTGCTAGCATGTGGCATCTGATTCAAGTCCACAGCCCTAAATGCTACACTGCCGCCTCCCATACAGGATATTTCTACGCAGCTTTCGGACATCTTGGGCAATGTCAATTGTGTCATGAGCCGCTTCCAGGAAGAATTAGGATATGACTTGAAAGAAAAGGAAAAATCTCACCAAACAGAGCAAAAGAGCACAAAGAGATTCATCCTGCTGGAGAAAATTGCCTCCTTCTCCAAAGAAGCTGAGACAAAAGAGAAGCACTTACATGAAATTCTCCACTGGCTGGGTGACTGGGGTGAGTCTATAGCCTGGGCAGCGTCCCGAGTGTGGGTGCTTTCCTTCCAAGATGCTGGTCCAGCTTGCTTAGTCTTCTCCTTTCTCTAGCAAGGTCAGCATTTGATGGTGGGCACAGGGAGAGCAAAGAACATGTTGTAATATCCCTTCCCCTATGACACATCCACTACTCGTCACAACACATCACTTCCACGCCCCAGAGGGACAAACATGGAAGTGTCCAGAATGTGGCAGATCATGACATTATCTGAATACATGATGCATCCTAAGTCATGTGTCCGTTATGATATCGCTCTTTTTTTTGACCCAAGTTCAGCCCTGGAAATTCACGAAGGCTGGGAAAATGCTAGAGGCTTGAATCACCCTGCCTGCAAGCATTTTTTTTTTTGAGACAGAGTATGTCACCTTTGGTAGAATGCCATAGCATCATAACTCACAGCAGCCTCAAACTCTTGGGCTCAAATAATTCTCTTGCCTCAGCCTCCCAAGTAGCTAGGACTACAGGTGCCTACCACAATGCCTGGCTATTTTTAGAGGTGGGGTTTTGATCTTGCTCAGGCTGGTCTTACCATTCAAGTAATCCACCCACCTTGGCCTCCCAGAGCGCTGGGATTACAGGCATAAGCCACTGTACCCAGCCACCTGCAAGCATTTTTTACTTGAGCCTCTGATCCTGAGGGTTTCTTGGGGCCTCATTTTTCCAGTTTTCTGTTGCCTATGAATCCTTGTGAGGACAAATACCTAGAAATCCCCAGCAAGTTCTGAAATTATAAAGAAATGTTCACTGTGGATTTTTAGTACTCTGTTTCTTCCTGACCTTATTAATAATCAACATGATAATAATGGCCACGCACTGTGGCTCATGCCTGTAATCCTAGCTCTCTGGGAGGCCAAGGCGGGTGGATTGCTTGAGCTCAGGGGTTCAAGACCAACCTGAGCAAAAGTGAGACCCACCATCTCTACTAAAAATAGAAAAACTGGCTCAGCGCCTGTGGCTCAAGTGGCTAAGGTGCCAGCCACATACACCTAAGGTGGTGGGTTCGAATCCAGCCCAGGCCCACCAAACAACAATGACGGCTGCAACCAAAAAATAGCCAGGTGTTGTGGCGGGCGCCTGTGGTCCCAGCTACTTGGGAGGCAG